CTACTACATTTTGTTAAAAGAACGAGAGGACATTTGGGGGGGGGGGTACCCTCGTCAGTCCATTTCTCACAAAAGTCTAGTACATTTTCCGTACTTTTGGTTCAAATCGGAGCAAAGTTTCTCAAACCAAAGTTTCTGAAAGAAGGAGCGATGTATACACCTCTCACACAAACGGGCGCTCCACTACCGCATCTGGCTCGTGTTATCAATTTAAATGTTTTCATGACTCATTTAAATGATAATGACGGTAAATGAGATGAGTAGAATTCAACATTCTACTTACTTGTCTAACTTCTTCGCAAAATAGCGTAAATGTCCAGCCAGCAAGCAGAATTTCTAGATATGGCACTTTGGTGTGTCTGTCATAAACTAGTCTTGTTGTGGTATTAGTTGACAATGTGCGCTGTCCATCCTCTCTCTTTGTATTAGCTGGCGGACATGTTTGATAATCAAATTTATACATGGGATAGAAATCGCAGAGTTGAATATAACTGAATAAAATGAGAAATGCTATGTGCATGTACTAAAATTAGAAAAAAAAATAAGAACTTTTTTTTGGATATTCTACAATATTGTAATGCTATTTTACCAATTTATATAGATATTTGATATAAGGAGCACGAATAAAACGCTGTATATTTCTACAGTATTCGAGTGGTGAAAATCTAAATATCGACTAAATCATAAGATTTATTTTTTTGAAAATAACATATGGAGACGAAAAACATTTGACTTGACTATTTTTGCAGATGAATTTAAAGAAGATTTTGTTGTAAATTATTCATAACTATTATGTAGTAGCTAATTTCAAATATCTTTGCTCAGATCCAACTAATTACTGAAATATGACCAGATTTTTTATGTGTAGTACCCTCATCCCTCACCCTCACTTACTGTGAAGATCAAGAAAAGGAATGTGAGAATTTTGCACGTTTGAATGTTATGTATAGAATTTTAGAAGTTATTCATTAATCCGAATCATTAATTCGAAGCGGCGTAAATTTATACTGAAATTTTTGACAAATTTTGGTAGTGAGATTTGCTAATAAAAATGAATGGTATGCATAAATTTTGGACGTTTTTCGCTTTTAATCATGCTGGATTAATTTTTTTCAATTTAAATCAATGAAATTGAAGCTTGCACCACTAAAAATACAGAAAGATGCCTTTGTACTTGAACAATGCCTATAGTTCAATGGAAACTATTTGTACACTTTGGTAATTACCGTACATTTTTCACATATTTTCTAATAAAATGAATATTTCAGTAATTAGTTGAATGTGAGTAAAGATATTTGAAATTAGTTACTATATAATGGTTATGAATAATTTATAATAAAATCTTCTTTAAATTTGTCTACAAAAATAGTCAAGTCAAATGTTTTTCGTCTCAATATGATATTAAATTTACCGTTTAAAGGTCGTACTTTTGACATCTATATCAAGGAGCGTATCTCGATGTGTTACGCTATCTGTACTAAAGAGATTAAGAATAAATAGAAGTTAAGAGACAGATGGTAATGTATTGAAAATGCGTACGTGCTTAGCATGTGTTGAATTTCGTCTCTTTTATATGGCATAGACGCAGGCATTTCACCCTGATAGTAGAACAAGATGATTACCTTGAAGAATGACGAAAAAACGAACTAATATTTTACTTCGTCACTAACAGCTTGATCAGCATCAACATAAATAAGTGAAGTTTGATAGTTTATAAAACCACTAAGCAATGGTATAAACGATGACAAAACAATCATTGTATCGGACGTTTCTTCATGAATATAGCCATACCTTAAAAGAAACAAAAGATAATAAATCACTTGATTTTGATCTCACCATTGTAAACTCACCATATATTTTTGAGTACATCTTGAACTGCTCTATGCGCTATAAAATTTTTAGCATTTGCTTCTGCTGCTATTGATAGCCAAGTACAATTTCCATACGATGGTATTTGTCTAACAATTGAATAAGTGCATTCACGTTTGTGATATTTATAGAGTAAATTTAACAGATTAATAGCCAATTGTTCAAATTCATGTGCTCTTTCTTGACATAATCCTTTATCATATTGAAATCTTTTATTTGCTATAATTTTTGTGTAAAGTAAATTAGCTGTGAGTGCGGCGCAAATTTTATTTTTAGTTCGCGACCAAAATAATAGAGCACAATCCTGTTTATTAGTCAATACAGCCCAAAACAATAATAATTTATCAATATCCATATCTTCGATGAATGCCTCTGAGTTCTGTCGTGACGGATTATTACTGGAAGCTGGAATAAAATAAAATAAAATAACAATGAGTTATTTAAGACTTGCTCCCATGTATTATGTTATCATATAGAAAAGTCTTGATATTTCCTGACAAATAAAAAGTATGTATTTAGTGACTGACGACAATGTTCTCAGAGAGACTGGATAAGAAGCGAAACTAAATCCCATATAATCGAATATTCGACAAGAATTTGAGTGCATATAACTTCTTATTACCTACCAGTTCGTCCTCTTTCTTTTATTTTCAAAATGCATCCAGTACAACAATTACTATTATCCTCAAATGTCGTTGTCCCTAACACAGCATCAATTTCAAAAAAGTCTCCGATTAGCGGTTTTATATATCGTCTATAAATATAATACAATGTATCATTCGCTCCAATATTTCCATCTGTATTATCATCCAGATGTATGTCTAATGAACGATAGTAACTAGAAGTATGCGGCGATGAATCCTAAAATAGGATACAAGTAAATACTAGATTGATCATTCAAACATGAAATAAGCGTATATATTTACCAACATTCGGTACAGAACTGATAATTTATCGTAATTTTCAAATAAACTTGTTAATGAAAAATCATGTTCAAGAAATAATTTGATAAAATTTACTTGATTACGTTCTAATGCCGTGATAAATAACTTATTTAAATCAATTTCCTACAAATAAACACCTATCTATTGCAAATTATTTATAGATTTGATATAATTAACATACCGCCCAATCTTCTTTGTCAGTCATTATATAAGTTTTGGCGATATCCACTCGATCCCAGTCAAGAGCTAATTGCAATTGTTCAAGTTTACGTCGGAAATAACAAGCTGACTTAGTCCCATCTTCCGACTCGGCATGATACTCGATATTTGATGCTTCAAAAGACGAAAAACAAGCTTCAAATAAGATATGATACTAATATTTTTACCAATTAATAATGCCTTCAATATAACTAAATCGATATCTGGTTCGGTTAAATCGTCAAGATTAAATCCAATTATTGTTAGCAATTTAAATTTTTTGTGAATACATTCGTAAACCATTTGAAAATAATCTGTTTGGTCTAAGTTGTCTTTTCCTCGAAATTTTTTTATGTCTTCTGCAACTTCTGCACGAAGAATCTGTTTGACTTCTTCTTCAGTTATCGGTTTAGTTGTCGTAATATTCTCACTATATTCAAAGCACTAAGCCTTATTAGAAATTTTTTAATAAATAGTGAATCCCTAACCTTTGTGTCGCATTTTTAGGCGGTATTAACTGATCTTTATATTCCAAATATTTACGATAAACTTTACCAAAAAAATTGCAACAACGTCCGGTTCCCTACGTAAAAAGAAAAACATTTATCTTTACAACTATTTAATGGAAAAATTGTTATTTCATTCTAACGTCAAATAGAACAGCCGGTATACTATTTTGAACAACGGCCTCATGGACCGTCCTGATTGTGTTCGGTCCTCCTAAATCATAAAAATCATTTTTTTAATCAACTAAAATCTTAAAAATGAATGTTAGAAATGTTTAGGACTAAATTATACTTGATTAATATTTCTGCAAATAAAGTTATGACTAACCTTCAATAACAAGTAAAACAACGGGCACTGGAGCTAAACACAGAAGATAAATCAGTGATTAACAGATAAAATTCTTCTATTAAAAACTTACTCGATTTCGCTTCTAATAGAACTAATGGTTCTGTTCGTTCTGAGAATGATGGTAATTGGTGTAATTGTCGATTTCCCGTTGCACTAATCGCCTTTTCTAATCTTGCACGAAACTGTATTTCACCACCATATTTATGAATTAGACCATCATCAATCAACAAGAAATTGGTGTGATTCGGTTCTAGTGAAGCTTCTCCTTGTACTTCTTCACGTTGTTTTGGATATCGAACAACTTCCTGAACAACAATACAATCGTTAAATACAATAGAAAAGAGTTGAATAAAAAAGTTTTTTTTACATACACCTTGTACAACTAAACGATCAGTAGCACCAGCAACACAACCCCATGTCGCAATTCCGATTAAATTAATTGGTCTCGATTTGAGCTTACTGACAGGCTTCACCCGTACTATCTCACCAATTAATTTCATGATACCTGTATTCAGTCCACCAGTTATAATCCATGCACCTAAAACAAAAATCAATAAAACCCCTACTAAATTTATTCTTGATTACCTAAATGTTATGTACCTGTTGAACTAGCCACCTTCAATAAACCTTGTCGAAAAGCTTTGACCATTCTTGGAGGCATTTTATACTTTTTTGCACCGCCTGTAATGGAAATAACGAGACTGGGCTGTGTATCACTCCAAACATTAAATAATAAATGTTTAATATGGTCAATCGAAGTATCCGGTGCAACACGAATAAACTAAGAATAGAATAATCGTATATTGTACGACATTTAAAATTATACAAATTATCCTACTTGCGCTTTTTTATATCTATTATCTGGAAATTCGATGATTCCGTAAGACTTGGCATCTATCGCTTTGTACAACTGGAATTATAGTTAACGTCATAGGACAAACATCAGATTTGAATAATTATAGAACATACCTGTTCACGAATAGCAAAACGTCTTATATAACCTATTCCATGAGCAAGATGTGAATCACCCGGATTCATTTTTCTTAGCTAACTGTGAAAAAAATGAAATAATTTCAAATGTTACAAAACATCGTTTTGGTGCGGATAAAATAGGTATTTAACACAATCAAATGATCATTTAGTAGACTATTCATGATGTTATAGACAAGAACCGAAATAAGATATATTAGAATAACAAGATTTTCTTTGTATCAGGTCTTTTGCAGAATATCTAGGTAAAACGGATAAAATATATACACTGATAACTTTTTTAGTGATTTGATCGAACTATTGGAGGTGTATATTGCAATACAGAGCAAATACAAGGAAAATTGCACGTGAGTCAAAATGTATATATTCAAATAATATAAGAAATAAGTGAAGCAAAAAAACAAAAATTGCATCGTTTTATACATACATCTGAAGAACAAAACAACTCGCAAAGGTAAATTATAGAAGGTGAAGAATGATTGTACTTCTTGCATGGTATTACTTTGGAACTGTACTGACTACAAGGATCCGTTCGTAAAGTCGAATATTATGCAATTGGAATAGAATAAACAAAAATCTTTCATATCATTCTGGGTGATTCATAGGTATGACGGATAGTTCTGATATATCTTTCTGAGCAAGAAATGTTTCTTTTAAATATTTAACTACTTCAAAATCAGTTAGTCTAGAGTCAATATTTTGTAAGAAATAATATTATCAAATGAATAAAAGGGAGAACCTATCATTATTGGGGGAAGATTCATTGTTATTCGTAGGTCGAAAAATGAAATAAATTGATATTGTGCAAAAAACATAATATAGCAGTCTTCACCTATATCTTCAAACTCATAACAGTATGGTATATCCATATACGGCATAATCCTTCAATTGATAAAATTGGTATTATTACCTCGCTTTTGAGCTGAGACTCAGTTGATCAGGGAAAAATATTTAATTGACTTTTAATATTAATCGTTTAATATTTTTCTATCTTACAACAAGAAAAATATTTATTAGTTCAAATAGAAAAATATTTAATTGACTTTTAATATTTTTCGGTATATCCCGTTCACCAGGCTTCAATCAGTTAAAACATGACGAACATTCTGGATATTTATTTGTCTCTTCAAGTAACTTCAACAACTTTGATACCAATCGTATGTGTTGTAT